TCTTATTTTTCAAAGATGTTTGAACAGTGTGAAAAAACAAATACAAGGTCAAGTTATTTCCATCTTCTTGGAAGAGCTATGAGAAGAGCTAAAGAACCTGGGACTCTGCAGGCTTGAATAGAGAAGGAGGAGACCTTAGAGAGCTATCAATGTAATGCTGCTTTTACACCGTTTCTCTGAAGCCAAGCCTGTCTTAGGAAGGAACTGGTATTTTGTGTCTTGTGTTAAATCTTTTGTTGCCTCTGCAAACAGGAGATCTGACTTGATACATTCATAGGTATAATACTGTCAGTAGCTCACCCAGTGTCCTGGCCAACAATCTTCCATTGCTCACTCACTTCATGGATGCTCGTGGAACATTGGTGTGTGCAAATTGGTTGCCATGACTACAAAATGCAGTCCCAACACTTTGCAGTAAATCCTGTAAAGTGCTTTGAGATGGCCTCCAGATTGAAAGACTCTATCAAATACAAGGAGTATTAGTATATAAGAAACATTTTATAATAATAATAATCCTTGGATTTAATACAGTGCCTTATCACATCTTCAAGGCGTCTCAGAATGTACTGTAAAGTGAATTGACTGTATATTATAGGCTGACTATAATAACAAAATTACATTTGTAAAGCACCTTTCACTTTAGGAGAACATCCCAAGGCGCTCAACAGTCAGAGATCAGGATCCGAACGAGGGGGGCAGGGTTCGGGTGAGAGAGGGCAGAGGGCGGCTGAAAGCATGGTTGAAAAAGGTCTTGAGTCTTGCCTTGAAGGAGGCAAGCGAGGGAGCAAGGTGAAGGGATTGTGGGATGGAGTTCCAGATGGTGGGGCAGAGAGACTAAAAACCCGGCCGACGATAGTAGGGTGGGTCGGGCGGCAGGCGTTGAGTAGGCCGGAGCCTGCTGAATGGAGGGAGCGGACAGATTGATGGGGGTAACCGCAGCTGTTTTTAGGGGGGTGGGGATGGTGCCAGATGATAGGGAGAGATTGATGGTGGTGGAGAGTAGAGGGGCGAGGAGGTGGAGCTGGGAGGTAAGGAGAGGGGTGGGGATGGGGTCAAGGGAGCAGGTGGTGTATTTCATGCTGGATATGGTGGTGATGAGAGAGGAATGAGAGACAGGTTTGAAGATGTGGAGGGAAGGATGGGTAGAAGTTGGAGTGTGGGAGGGAGATGGGGAGGGAGTGGCGGTTGGGAGGGTGGAGGCAGCTGAACGGTTCCCCTCGATTTTTGGACTTGAGGAAATCCAGCATCTCCTCACAGTTTGAGGAGAGAATGGACGAGGTGTGGGAGGGTGGATAAAGGAGCCGGTTTGTGGTGGAGAATAGAAGTCTGGGGTTGTCCTTCGCCTCCAAGATTATCTTGGAGTAGAAGGATGATTTGCCGGAGGCAAGGGCGGAGTGGTAAGTTTTGATGTGGTCCAGCCAGATCTACCGATGGACTGTTAGGTCAGACTTTAGCCAGGTGCGTTCGGCAGCCCACACCTGACCCTTGGGGGAGCGGAAGTGGTTGCTGTCCCAGGGTGAGGTTCAGGTGGTGAGGGGGGGCAAGGGCATCAAGAGTGGGAGAGAGGGAGTTGTGGAGGAGAGTGAGCGGAGGATAAATCAGTGCGGGAGGTAGGCCAGATGGGGAGGAGTTCAGATGACTCCAGGGCAGTGGAGAGGGATTGTGGGGAGATTTTTTTCCAGGGGCGGTAGGAGATGGAGGTGGGTTTGCTGGCGTTGAGGAGAGGGAGTGAGGAGTTAAAGGAGATGCAATGATGATCGGAAATGGCTTTGTCTATGATTATGATATCTGAGACACTATAAATACTAAAATAATAATAATCCTTGCATTTGATTATAGCGCCTTATCATGTCGTTGAGGCGTCTCAAAGCGCTTCACAGAATGTACTGTAAAGTGAATTGACTGTATATTTTGTGGCAAAATGAGGCAGCCAATTGCACACAGCAGTATCCCACAAATCGTTGTAGATTGAGTGACCAGTTTATTTTTTTGTTTCTTTTTGATGGGATTATTACTCCCAGAAAGCAATCCGACAAAAGACTTAACTGGGTTCCTACTTACTGCTAAGGTGAACATGGGCGTGTGGAGTAAGGAAACTAGCCTAAGGTTTTGCCCCCCTCAGGAATCGAACCCGGGTCCCCTCGCTTGTGAGGCAAGCGTGCTAACCATGGGACTAAGCTACAGGATTCACAATCTTTTGGTTTATTTGGAAAACAACAACAACAAAATTACATTTGTATATCACGTCAGGAGGATGCCCAAGGGGCTGGACGGACAGGGTTTTGGACCCAAGCTGGGGGTCAGGGAGGGTGGAGGGGCAGGGGGGGAATCAGGGAGATCGAAAGCATGGTCGAAGAGGAGGGTCTTGAATGTGGCGAGGGAGGGGGCGAGATGGAGGGACTGCTGGATGAAGTTCCAGTGGGTGGGGCAGAGTGTCAGGAGGCCCGAACCCTGCTGAGCGGAGGGAGTGAGCAGGATGGTAGGGGTTTAGGTGGTCACAGAGGTGGGGGGAGCAAAACCACAGAGGGCTTTGAAGGTGAGGACCAGGATCTTGAACTGTATCCTCTGTGTGATGGGAAGCCAGTGGAGTTGGGCAAGGATGGGGGTGATAGGGTCGTGGAGCCGAGTGCGGGAGAGGACACGGGCTGCAGAGTTCTGGATGATTTGGAGCCTATGGATTCAGGAGTTGGGGAGTTGCTGACAAGCAATGAGTTTGCATAGTTGAGCTTCGACGTAATGAAAACATGTATGAGGGTTTCGATGGCCTGCAGTGTGAGACAGTGGCAGAGCCGGGCAACGTTGTGGAGGTGGGGGAAGGTAGAGCGGATCATGGCACAGATGTGGGGTAGAAAGGATAGTTGAGGGTCAAACAAGATGCCAAGGTTACGGACTGGCTTAGCAAGGTGGAGAGTGTGACCATGGATAGTGATGCTCAGCGCCTGAGGAGAAAGGCTGTTCATCTCATGATACTATTGACAGTCTGCACTTGACATACAAGAGTGGCCACTTTGGCACGATACTAACCTGAGAACAGTTGCCTTCCTGGAACTGAATCGCATGAAGAGTCATAACTTGTGGGAGGGCGGACTTCTTGAAGTAGAACAGTAATGTTGTGTAATACTGTAATGTTTAAAATTAACAGAAGGGTTGCTTTTGAAAGGATACGTAGACGTTCTTTTCAGAGCTGCCGTTTTTACTTCTGAAAATAAAAAGCAGACGATAACCAACTGCTGGATTGTAGCATAATAAGGACCTGGTGAGCACTGCCATTGGAATGCTGATTGGTTTGGCGTTTGCATACATTTTTTGGGCAACATTCTGTTTATTAAAAAAAACTTCACACAGTATGACTAGACATATTTGTGAATTGCCAATATTGTGTGCTCTAAGTAAATATTATATGCATGTATACATAGTACTGACTGGAGTAGGAATGTTTGTTCCCCGCCCGAAGCAGACTTGCTCTTTTAATATTATAAAGCGTCCTTTTTTAAATACCAAACATGAGTTCAAGTTTTTGCAATTGGTATTTTTTTAAAGGAAGTAAATAGTGAAGGAACACAATATCTTATCCAATAAATGGTTGCTTGTTTGCAATAGTTGATTTTAATCAGTGTACTACATGCTGTTTCCTGTATAGCAGTATATTTAGTAATCTTACATAGCAAGTGGTTTGGGTATTGATCGCATTCTTCGTGGTAGCATTTGTTGGGGGAAGAGTAAAGTGAGTCTCAATGTGAAATTAATATGCAAAGGGAACTCTACCTGCACAAATGTCGCATGTTACTTATTGTCTGTTTAATGTATTATATAAAAAAAGCATGTTTCTGATACTGTTACAACATATGGCACTTTACAAAGAGAGCACTGGGTATTCTGTTGTTTAAGCATTTTAAGAGTTTCTTTAGGTCAAAATTGGAGTCCTATAGCTCAGTGGTGAGAGCACTCGCTTTGCAAGCAAGAGACCCAAGTTCAATTCCAGGCAGAGGGCGAAACCTTGGGCAAGTTTCCTTACTCCACACGCCTAATAATAATCCCTCCAAAAAAACAAAACAATAATAAATTGGTCATTTTCAATCTACGACTGTTTGTGGGACATTGCTGTGCGCAATTGGCTGCCGCGTTCGCCCACAAATATACAGTCAATTCACTTTACAGTATGTTCTGTGAAGCGCTTTGGGACGTCCTCCTGACGTGAAAAGCGCTATATCAAATGCAAGGATTATTATTATTATTGTTGTGGCTTTTCAGAGGGAGATTTTGAACTTTGCGTTCGTGCTGAATTGTGGGCAGTTTTGTGTTGCTGATGTGCGCAATCTGAATTGAGACTTAATTAATTTATATCAGAGAAAAGTTTTTAATCTGCACAATGTTTGACTTCAAGTTCTAGAAGTGAAATATCCTAAACCAGATTTCATTCTCCTTTCTCCCCGAAAATCAGGACATTTTGATCAAGTGAAGAATTCACTCTTGAGTACTTAACTTTGATTGCTTTATGGAGTGGAGGCAGGTCTTCGCCATCTAACTCTGTTTTTAAATGACAAGATGTTGTTTCCCTGCATTTACTTTACTATATTTAATGTAAAATAAATTATACATTTTTGAGCAATTAATTGTAAACGCTTGAAATAAAAATGTTGAATTCAAAATTGAACGCTGTTTTTGTGTTGAAATTTGAAATGATGTTGTACAATTGATTTATCCTTGATTTCTGCCTAAATAAGACAGAAAATAAATATTTAAGGCCAAATAAAGGGAGAAAAAAAAAGCAATTCGTACCTAAAATTGAGCAGAATTGAGCTTAATTTTGGCTCTATTGCCCCACTCACCGCAATGAGGTATTAATAATAATAATCATAATAATAATAATCCTTGCATTTCATATAGCGCTTTTCATGTCTTCTAGACGTCCCAAAGCACTTCACAGAACATACTGTAAAATGAATGGTGAAATGCGCCAGCCAATTATGCACATCAGTGTAATAAATAGAAACGCGGCTCTATTTTCAGCTCTGTATTAACGCTATATAAGAAGTTCATCGCTCGTGCTATTCAGTGCATTACACGGCCAGAATGCCAAATGCCTTCCTTGATGGGGTTCAGAGGTTCAGAGCTCCTCAAATAGAGATCGTCTCACAAGACCACTCGGATCTTTGACAATTGAAGTTGCTCATAAATAGCCATGTTCCGGAACGAGAGTCCGTGAGGGTTCAGAAGGCAGACAGTTGAACTGTAACAGTAGATCTGGACAGCAAAGTGGCTTCATGTCTTCGTCCACACACCCGGGGTCACTGGTAAGTTCTGATTGAGGGGAAACATCGTTCTTGATATCTTGCTTTATTCACTGTTTAGCAGTTTGAATCCTTAACGGGCTCGATCGGGGTGCCAGCCAGGACAGAGTGCTCTTCAAATCCTTCGTTTCGTAGCTTAGTCCTCGACGTTTCCTTAGGTCGCTCGTACTAAACAGAAATGTTTGTATATTTGTCAATTTCACGATTACTGCACGTTTGGCTTACGATATCCCGAACATTTCAACCATAAGGAAGCTGCTCATTAATGGCTTGTTGTTCAGCGTGCTGAGAGTTTTGCGGAATCCGGTTTATGATCCATTACGTAAGTGGGAAAATGAATGCTTGATTTACCTGGCAAGTTGTTTGAGATCTGGTTTTAATATACCCGGATCTGCAGTAGCACAAAGCTGCTGGTACTGGGAAAGTGGACATTTACATTGTGGGGTAAAATCGAAAGCACCGCCACTAAATTGGAAACAACTAACCAAGTACGAACTCGTGAACATTTGGTAGCGCTCGAAGGTGATACTCTAATGAGGTGGTGGGGGGGAGGGGGGGTGGCGGGTGTTGTATTGTCGGAGGACCCGTCCTTCAGATGGGACGTTAAACCAATGCCTTGTTCAGCCAGACGCTAGAGATACAAGGGCATGTCTAGAAAAGAGGAGGGAATGTCTCCAGAGGTCCTGGCCACAATCCCCCATTACAAAATGCCGTCACTGCATCTAGTAAATTCTCTGCAGCCCCTTGAAACCTTTGACAATGTGATAATGGGCTATATCAAATGCAAGGATTATTATTATTTTCTTCTCCTTGGCGGTGGTGATTATGGTAATTGGATTATAGATTATGCTGGAACATAATAACTTCAGGCCATATTCCCCTTGAAAAAGAATTAACATGCAAAAGTCCTTGCTTAAAGGACATTGTAAAGTCACAGCAACAAGCCAGAACAAAACAATATCCAGTAAAGATCAGCAACACAAAGAAATTATTTGTCAAATTACATATTCTTACAATATTTATTTTAAAATTAACTATTTATTTGGGGATTTTTAAGACAGAGATGTAACTGGGGGTAAGTTAAACGGTGTCTTGTCTTAACTATTAACTGTACTTGAGGATCTTCTGCTGCATGCTTTTTTTNGGAATGAAAAGCATACATGTCAGGATCAGAATGTGGGACAGAGGTACAAGTGAAAATTAATGCGTAGGAAAAGAGGAAAGCGATTATTACAAGGAAGATTAGAGGCAGACATAAATTGAAGTGGTAAGAGCCAGCAATGCTGCAAGCTTAATGTGGCAAAACTAGTGAAGTAGTGGATCTCACATCCAACAAATACTTTGCCACCACAACTCTGTGTAAATAAGCTCAGTGTGTTTCACCAGCCTGTGTCTTCTAAAATTATCAGCTTCTCTGAACTGTAGTGGTTTCTCATGCAGTTTCCGTCTTGAACTGTAAAATGACATCAGCAATTCTAGATTGGCAGTGAAATTGTCTGATTGCTGAAGGCTGCAAACTTATCCTGTGAGTGTTTTGTGAGGTACAGATACATACTTGGGATCACTAACTAATCTGTTCTACAGGTTTGTTGAAGCAAGAACTTTCTTTGACTTTATTTTCAATATGCAATTCCATCATAGTTAATGTGGAACATTGCAAATACTTTGTACAATACATATTGAATACATGATTACCTGGCATGCAAGTGACCCTGATTGCTTATTACAAATATTTACACTTATTTGGTGCCTTTCATGTTGGAAAATATATCAAAGCACTTTACAAGACTGACCAGGAGTCCGGACTGGGAGGATTGAGTTGGCTGAAAATACAGTCAGAGTTCACACCGATTGTAATGCATGTTCATGTGTTGTAATAAAAATAACTGCACATCACTTAGCTACTAAAGGTAATACTGAAGTAACATCTTGCGCATTCATTGAAGTGATTTAAATGAAGAATTTGATTCTATTTTTAAATGTAAAAAAAACTATCTGAATTAATTTTCTGCTTGCGGAAGTTAGCCACTGAAACAAGACAGAAAGCAAACTGCTCTTTTTTTCTTTCTTTGTAATAGAAAATGTAGGCCAAATTCTTGAACGCCAAGCAAAATTGTCCACAAGAACTGCAGATTGTTTGAAAGAACCACATCCTCTATATTAAAAACAAAATTTGGAGAAATCTGTGTGCATGTTACCACAGCCCCAGATGTGTACATCTCTTGCAACTTGGAATTATTTAAAGTTAAGAAATGCCAACAAAGAGGCTCTTAAGATTATACTTTAAAATCTTACTTTGGAATATTGCTTTGGTCCAAGGCTGTGTGATGGAGGTTTGCGTTCAAACTACATAGCGTTTCCCTTTTGTTTGCACCAAACCTTTACTTGATTTGCAGAATTTCAGAATTTTTCATTCGCAGTTCTGTTGCTGTAGCTCGGTTGTCACCTGTGGAAAACACTTTACCCTGAGAAGGAGAAACCAAGCCTTTGTTCTCAATGTATGGTCTTTATATACCACAGTGAAGCAATGAAGTTTGAATCTAAATGTCTCGTCTGTTTCCTGTCCCTATGGTTGAAAGGAAAGTCATTTGATTCGTCAGTAGGCCCTAATGCTTTTGTCTCCATCTCAGCCTTTTCTAAGTGTTATTATTCACACTACTTGGAATCAATCCCATTGTAAATATGGCAACAGTACAGATAATGAGGCATCATGAAAAATGTAAACTGGCTCGAGTGCCTACCATAATCTTTTTCCATCAGAAGTTATTTTGTCACTGCAGGACCAATACTGTGTCAGCTCTTCTCTCCATGGCATTCTCGCTCTGACTAACTTTCTCTCTCATTCTACCTTTCTCTTCTCTGAGTCTTTTTCTCTCTTGAACTTTCTCTCCCTCTTTCTAAATTTCTACCGTTCTTTCTCTTTTCTCTCTCTCTCTTTCGCTCACACACTCTTTCACTCCCTCTGAGTCCTCTCTCTTTTTTTCTGTGACTCTCTTGGACACTTTCTGACACTCTCTCTTGGACTCTCTTTCGGTTTCAGTCTGTGACTTTTTTCCTACCCATTCCTCCCTCCATCTCGAATTACAGTTGCTTGTATTGCACTTCTTAACCAATGTATGGTTAGCTAACATGTGGATACTCAGTATTTTAATGCGCTTCAAATCTTTGTTGTAAAATTAAATACAGAATATTTACAGTTTACTGTAATATTTACTGTTTTAAATGAAAAAATACTCTAAAAATTGAAGCAATTTTGGAATTACCATAGAACTCCTTTATAATGCACTTCATTATAATGTGCATCGATTGTTTGAATGGTGAAAAAAAAGCTGGTCGGCTGTCTTTAAAACATTGCATATGCAGCTCGCAGGAAGGAACTTTAACAATCTTAAGTTCCAGAAGTTGAAGATTGTTTTAGTGAATGAAAAGCTGGCCTGTGGTTTGAAGCAAGTCGTCTTTCTACGTGTAATTGCAGAATTCTGGAAATGTTGACAATTGTGCCCTGTTACAATGCTGTTTGGGCTGTTGTGGCACCCAGTTAATGTGTTGTAATGGTGTGCTTCTGTATATTTAAATTTTTATTCTATTGCGGTGTTTGTTCATTTTATTGCTGCTTCCTTGTAGTTCCTGGTATTAACTTAGTGAACTGCGTGGTGGTTGCATTATGAAGTGTATTTTCAAGTGATCTAAATCTGTTTTCATTTGTTGTAGTACTTGTTAAGTCAATTGAAGGTAAATGTCGTTCAGTTACAAATGACTTTTATTGTATTACAAAGCTCAGGAGAAAGCTGCTTGTGTTTTTGTTGTAAATGGAGTGAATGATTGGCAGTACATTTGCACATCGGGTGAGGTTACATGAAACCAAATTACGTTTAGATGAATATACTTCTAGATGAATAAACAAATACACATTTAGACAATATAATTGGTCAGTTTAATAATAATTCAGTTAGGAAAGTGAGGAATGTTAATGTTGGGCTAGCAAGCCTGGGTTATCACCAAATACCTTTTTCAGGTCGGTTGTGGTCACCGGATGCTCTAATAACCCAATCCTGAAAGAGTTTGTCATATAACAGTCCTTCTATAACAAATCCAGTCTACAGTGCTGCATTTCAGGTTTGACACCGAATACTTAAAATTCCAAGCTTTTTACTCCCGCTGAGTAGTGGTTTACGAGATATTCTATCATGTGTATGGTATGAATACTGGAACGAGTTTGCCAATTGCATGGTTGTAATACTTCTATAATAATAATCCTTTCATTTGATATAGCACCTTATCAAGTTTTCTAGATGTCTCAATACTCTACACAGATTATACTGTAAAGTGAATTGACTATATGTTTTGTGGATGAAACGTGGCAGCCAATTGTGCACAGCAGTGCCCCACAAACCGTCATGGATTAAATGACCAAATATTTTTTTTTGAAGGGGTTATTATCCCAGGAAAAGCGATCCGCCAATCGACTAACAACCGGGTTCATACTTATTGCTAGGTAAACAGAGGCGTGTGGATTAAGGAAACTTGCCCAACTTTTCACCATCAGGAATCGAACACAGGTCCTCTTGCTTGTGAGGTATGTGCTCTAACCACTGAGCTACAGGACTCCGCAATGTCAATTAAATGCTTGTGTGAGCTGCAAATAAGGCTTTGCATGGAACAGTTCTCGGCGAGTTGTCAAAACACTTGCTTGTGGAAGGAGTTTGGATGTATCAATACATTTGGACTGTTCTATTTTTCACTCTTGGCAGTCTGCTAGATTTTCTCACGTAGAGGAAAAATTGGACAAGTCAAGTCAGCTTTCAGCGCTATCATTGGCAGTGGTCTGTGGTTACGTGTTGGCATCGTTTTAACTGGGGAGAAGATATTTTAACCTTATTCTCCCCAAAAAAGGTAGTAGTAGAGTAAAGTTGCAGATTGGATAGTGTATTGTTTTGGTTGTCCCAAATGTGAAATGAATACAACTGCTAAATATCAGCTATTAATTGGAAATATGTTTTAGCTTCTCTCTCCCCCTACCAAGATTATTGCCACAAGTATGTACGATTCATTACAGATAGCAAAATACCTTAAAAATAATATTAACAACAACTTGCACTTATATAGCACCTTCCACACAGGATAGTGTCTCAGAGCGCTTAACAGTGGCGGAGCCTGACTCAGAGGTGACTGTAAGCATGGTCGAAAAGGAAGATTTGTGGCACAGCACCTGGTAAAATACCTCTGTCTTCCAAGATTCAGGAGGTTTTGCTACAAAAGATGATTATTTTGCCTTTTAAAACATGAACATTTAGCCTACTATGCATCCTACTAAAGCTTTCATTTGCCAATGTACTCTGAATGAGAAGAGCTTCACAGATTTTGCTGCAAAGTGGAGTGACTCTATTTTGTAGACACAAACATCAGCCAGTTGCGCACAAAAGTGACTCACAAACAGCCATGAGGTGAGTAACCAAATGTGCGCAATTGGCTGCCGTGTTTCGCCCACAAAATATACAATCAATTCACTTTACAGTATATTCTATGAAGTGCTTTGAGACGTCTCAAAGATGTGATAAGCCCTATAGAAAATGCAAGAATTATTATTATTTGGGGGATTGTTGGCCAAGACTCAAAAGAAACTCCCATATTTGAATAGTGTCATAGGATCTTTAATGTCCACCTGAAAATGCAGGCAGGATCTCAGTTTAAAGCCTTATCCAAAGGATGGCACCTTCAACAAATAACACACGTCCAGCACCATATTGAAGTGTTAACTTGGACTTTGTGAGGTCCAAATCCTGACGTGGGGCTTGAATCTACAGCTTCTGATTCAGAGCTGAGAGTGCTAACGATTGAGCCAGTCTGACAGTAAATTAGTGCACTGGATAGCAAGCTAATGGCTAAGTGAAACTGCTATAATTTATTTATTAATCTCCAGAAATGTAGCAACATTATGGCAATGGAAATAAAGGATATAAAAAGTTATTGGTTTATGAAACCAAACAAGTAGATTGGTCTGACAGCTAGCTGCCTGTTTGCACAGACTTAGAAGGGATTATTATCAAATTATTTAAACGTTTGTGACCATGTGATTATTACAAGAAGACAAAACAGCTCATGAAGATCTGGACCATGAATGGATTTAAAAGTGCATTATGTAAAATAATTTTCTGTCCCAATATTCCCTAATTTTGTTGCAGAAAATGTTTTAAAATAGTAACTTCAAACAGGATAAACCATCCAACGTCTTAAAAGATTATTTTAACTTATCTATTGTATAGTTCATTGTTGATTATTCGTAGTTCATTTTTGAAACCCTTTATAGTTCTTTGTTGCATCTGTATTTGTTGTTTATTGAATGTGCTAAACACAGTTCGGTCAGTTAAAAAGGCTGACAGTGTATTTTAATAGATGTAGTAAGATCATGAGGTAAAAACTAAATGACATAGGTTTAAATATTTTTAAAACATTTACATGGGCTAGAAAGTTTTTATTTTCTCCTTTCTCAACCTGCCCCTCAGAGTGGATACCTGGAACAAACGTCTAACAAATGGACCCGATGTGGATTGATTAACTGCAGAACTAGCTGGCCTTTTCACATAAAATTACTTTTTGCATGACTCGTAATTGCATCCTAATTCACCAAGACTCTGATGTAATCTGTTTATGGAATATGGATATGACATTAGCACATACTGGCATGGTTTCACTGTTCTGTTTTTTATTATGGAGGCCATCAGACTCAAAACAAATCTTTAGTATTTCTCTGTCAGATTGTTCTGTTAACTTCATCTTTTCCCCCCCTTTAACTCTCTCTTGTGTTATTGTCTATCTGCTTCTGCATTGCACTTCATTCAAAGAATTCATTCCTAGAAGCTTCTGAATAATTTTGCAATATTATTTTATAGCTTGCTTCCTAGCATGAGGCAGCTTTTCATTTGGCTTTAAATTGAGATTGTCCTCTTCATTTAATTCAGCACAAGGGCTCATTTTCACATTTTGAAGCCGGACTCTTTCCTGCCACTGGAGCACCACCAAGTGGTTTGATACCTCAGTGATGGGTCATGGATCAACTTGCATTCATTGTGTGTAACCCATCTTCTATATATTTCCTATGTAGTCATAGATTCAGATCTTTACTCTTATAGTTAAGGCATATCTTGTCCAGGAATTTCCCAGTGTTGGTTGCAAACTGGGTAGAGCTTCACCACCTCAAGATTACCTTTCCTATTAATCAGTTTCTGTATGTGCACACAATACAATACATATTTACGTGGAGCCTTTCAGGAGCCCCCTCCAAGTGTATGTACCCAAAAGTATATTTCAGTGACTTAGTATTAAATATTGTATGCTTCACATGCTTTGTTCCTGTCAGAATGGCAGGCTTGAATGGCTGTGCTTACCCAGATTTGATTTTTTGTAATATTAATTTTTGTATAATTTTGCAAAAAAAATTATGGAAAGGGACAGTACATTTGGGATTAATTCCTACTTGTTATAAATTTCTCTTATAAATAATAATCCTTGCACTTGATGTAGCGCCTTATCACGTCTTCGAGACATAAAGAGCTTCACAGCATATACTGTAAAGTGAATTGACAGTATATTTTGTGGGCGAAATGTGAGGCTATTCTGCCTCATGGTCATAATAGCAGCATTCCTATCCCATTAAAGCAATGTGAAATTTGAATACCCCTCACCTGGTTTTCTCATGTGTTTCTGAGATTGTTAATTTATGAGCAGTTCTTTGCTGTGAACCCAAGCACAGCAGGCTGCATCGATTTAAGCCTGTTCAGCTTATTTAACATAATTCTTACAATTGCTA